TAAGTGCGATTCATCCAACCAGTTAAGGTAAGATAAGTGCGATTCATCCAACCAGTTAAGGTAAGATAAGTGCGATTCATCCAACCAGTTAAGACAAGATAAGTGCGATTCATCCAACCAGTTAAGGCAAGATAAGTGCGATTCATCCAACCAGTTAAGGTAAGATAAGTGCGATTCATCCAACCAGTTAAGGCAAGATAAGTGCGATTCATCCAACCAGTTAAGGCAAGATAAGTGCGATTCATCCAACCAGTTAAGGTAAGATAAGTGCGATTCATCCAACCAGTTAAGACAAGATAAGTGCGATTCATCCAACCAGTTAAGGCAAGATAAGTGCGATTCATCCAACCGGGCCATCGTGAAAATAACATTTGAAATTACAGAAATGAAAATCAGTAACAATTCCTATGATAGAAAACGACAAAAATAGCAAATTTTCAAAACACAATATCCGAAACTTGTATGCCAATTGACACTACTTTTTTAAGGATAAAATAAATGATAATAATAAATAAGGTAGCGATGATCAAGAAATAAAAAAATTCTATGAAGACTCATAGACAGTGTATCATATGACAACAGGTACAATTACATGTTATTAGTGGACGCAACTGAACGTCATGATGCGAAATCAGTAAGCAATGTCAATGTGCATACAAATTGTTTGTATCACAATTGTTTCATAACTGAGAGTGTTTTTAAGGGAATGGGGCTCATATGCAGTGTTTTGTAAACGTTTCGACATCAGCTACAAGAATCTGTAACAAAAACTGACGAGTTCCATTTGAAATTTTTTACGTTATTTGTATGCAGCTCGTAAGGGTCATTTCAAGGTCATGCCGTCTATGCCACATAATACATCTTTTCATACCATAAAAATTATGTCTAAGACATTTTGTCGAAAAATGAATAGTTTCGGAAATAATTGTTTGCTTCCATACTTTTTCCCCACCCTGTATATATATATATATATATATATATGTATATATATATGTATATATATACATATATATATGTATATATATGTATATATATATGTATATATATACATATATATATGTATATATATGTATATAGGTATATATATATATATATATATATATATATATCCCAGCAAACACAGAGATGTAATATATATCTCTCAGAGTTATAACATTATATATCACAAGTAACATAGTTACATAATAAGTAAAATACATGTATGTTACATGTACTGCTAAATGTCAGCAACAAAAGTACTTCTGTGATATATCAGAGATATATATCACTGAACTTTAAATATTATATTTATGTTATATAATCATACCACTATATCACATAACAAATATATTTCAGTTACGGAACATTAGGTAACATATACATTTCAAATGCATAACAATGTATAAATGTGTTACATATAGTTTACTCATATGTAAGGCACACAATAAAGAAAATACTAGGAATAAATATTAATTAAATATTAGAAGTAAGAATTATTTTAAAATAATAAATTCGAAAAAATGTGATATACAAATACAAATTCGAATATAAAAGGCTCTTACTAGTTTATTTTTTATTATTTTATTATTTTATTATTTTAAAATATAATTCTTACTCATTATATTTTCTCTATTGTGCGCCTTACATATGAACAAAATGTATGTTGTTACACATTTACACATAGTTATATATATGCATTTGAAATGTTTATGTTACTTAATGTATATCCACATTGCGTGTTTATTAGGAATTAATAGGTATCATTTAGAGGATTAGCCATATTGTAATGTTATTTTATTCTTAAGTTATTTTTTATATTTTTGGCAAATATTATATAACAGAAATTACATAATAATTAAAAAATGTATTAAAATCTTATATTAATGTATAGTAATTATATATCACAAGTATATATTTATTTTTTATAAATATTTAACATACATACACTTGAGAAAAAAGGATAAAATAAAATTTCAAAGATAAATAATAATTTTACAATGTCATGCTGAATATCAAAATATAGTCTGAAGTATCATGAAATTTAACCTACATCATATATATATTTCAGCATTTGCTAAAAAACAAAATTTATTATTTTAGTACTATAAAATTAAAAAAAAATATGCACTCTTGTATATAAATATAAATATATATGTGTGTGTGTGTGTATGTATATAATATATATAAATAAAATAAAGTAATATTTTTTATAAATTCTATAGCAATGGCAAAAATTATTCAAGTTACTAGTCATATATGCATGTGTAAGTGATGTGTACATGTGTGATATGTATATGTAAGATTTGATTTGTTTTGTACTACATTTGTACACACTGCACTTTTTTTTACATTGCACATTTTTCACAGCATTTGAACTCATATTGTTACTTATAAGATAATTATATTAAGAAAAATATTTGAAAATCAATTTTCATTATTTATTTTAATTTTCTTTGTTATCACTTGCGTCTGCTTCATGTCTATATTTTTGTTCTCTTGAAAGCCTTAATTTGCTAAGACGGAACCATTCACTCGCTGCCTTTTGAAAATGTATTTCTTGAAAATTGTAATGCGTTGACAATACTGCATCTTAAAATATTTGTATAAGCAAAAAAATAATATTCACATAAATAAAATATATTTGAAATCAATTGAATAAGCAAATGGAAGTACTTACTTTGAATTACTGTTATTAGTGAAAGATCACAAATCTTGAAATTGTTTCGTTGGCCTAACCAACTGCACTTTGTACCAAGGTGATTTGTAAAAATTCTTTTGAATATTGCTTTTACGTTGTCTGTTCCGTTTGCACCACCAATACGTTTGACATACATTATCTGAAAATATTTATTAATTTTAACTACTAAAGCATTTTTGTAATATACAATAACTGCTTTCGCGACAGAATCAAATTGATCCAGAATAAATAGAAAATTCAATGATATTTCAGATTTGACCAATCACAACGCAGGCTCATTTTATTCTGGATCATTTTGATTCTGTCGCAAAAGCAGCTAATATATCCAAATAACATACAAATGCTTTTTTAACATTCTCGTTTTCCATAGATTGATCAAAATGAATCAATTGATCAATTATTTTTATAGGCAATTGATCTTGTATTATTTGTACTTCCTCTCCATCGGAATCATTTTTTTTCTTTCTATTCTCGAGACATTTCAGTCGGATATCAATACTTTTTACGTACATTTTTATTAACGTACATTCTTGTAGAATTCTTTGTACTTTGTCTGCAATATATATAAAACATGTAAATATATAATAATATATAAAAAGGTAAAATGTAAATATTAATGTAAATATTAATGTAAATATTTGGAAGTTTTTTCTTACTGTAGGTATTTGAGCTGGCATCCGTGACTGGTTTTTGAATACCAGAGGTAACTTCTCTATTTGGACGAATTGGTTCTAAATCACACACACACACACACATGCAAACATAATAATATATAAATAAATATATAATACATAATAACATATAAATAACATATATACATACACCATGCAAATATATATATATATATATATATACAGGGTGGGGCATTTATCTTGAGACAAGATAATATCTCGATTGGAGTCGATTATTTTGAAAAAAGTTTTAGACAAAAGTTGTATGGTTTCAAGGGGACATAAGATGGTGTTATTAGTTTGATCTTGAAGAGCCACCTGAAGGACACGCGAAGGTCAGCTCCAACTTTTTAAATGGGACACCCTATATGCTTTTGCATATTCTTGTAGCTCATCTCAAGAGCTTTCCAAAACACTATAATTAAGTTAGTTTTCATTAAGCACTTTCCAAGTTATGAGGCTTGAAATCATTTTTTAATTTTACATAAACCGTAAAATATCTTGTAAAATATTCATTTTTCGATTATTTTACCTTAATACTTTTATGTACAAAATAATGAGAAAAATCAATTGGTGTAAAGAAAACTCATAGTTGTTTCGAAAAAAAAAATGTAATTTGCAATTAACAATTACATATTTTTCTTAAAAATAACTATGTCTTTTCTTTACACCAATTGATTCCTCTCATTATTTTGTACATAAAGTATTAAGGTAAAATAATCGAAAAATGAATATTTTACAAGATATTTTACGGTTTATGTAAAATTAAAAAATGATTTCAAGCCTCATAACTTGGAAAGTACTTAATGAAAACTAACTTAATTATAGTGTTTTGGAAAGCTCTTGAGATGAGTTACAAGAATATGCAAAAGCATATAAGATGTCCCATTTAAAAAGTTGGAGCTGACCTTCGCGTGTCCTTCAGGTGGCTCTTCAAGATCAAACTAATAACACCATCTTATGTCCCCTTGAAACCATACAACTTTTGTCTAAAACTTTTTTCAAAATAATCGACTGCAATCGAGATATTATCTTGTCTCAAGATAAATGCCCCACCCTGTATATATATGTATGTATAAGAAATAAAACATACCTTCTATTTCAAAAGCTGGTGGTGTATATGTTGAATTAGACGCTATTACAACAGGAATCTCGTTCAATGTTATGACATTGCTATTCTGATTGTTTTCATTAACTAGTACATCTGTACAAGAAAATTCTCCATTGCAAATATCTGTTGTTGAAGAAGACAGAATAGAGTCCGGTAGCTTGTCATGTGATACATTAAGTGTTGAAATTTTGTAATTTTGCTTAATCACATTGCTTTTCTTATTTAATTGTGGAGGAGGCTTATAACCTGTAATAAAATATTAATATTTAGAAGAAAATTATTTTAGTATTACGTATTATATAACTTTCACTTCTCTATTGTGTTGTAAAATTGTATTTATTTTATTATTTGAAAAAGTATGCTATAAAATAAAATTTCATCATGACTAAAATTTAATAATTTTGTTATTACTATTTTTAAATGGAACAAACATAATTTCTTTTCTTGTTACATTTTGATTCTAAATCTTCAGAACTTTCATTGTTGTCGCTGGTCAAAACCTTTCTTTTTTTTTTTCGCTGACCTTTCCCACGAAAAAACATTCTCTTCAGTAGAAGTGCAGTTGCTGTTTTCGGCTTTTTTTCTTGCCAGTTGCACAGTTCCTATTGAACATAATAATTTATTTTACGAGAGAATTTATAATTTCTATTTCTATTTCTCAATAAAGAATAATTTCAGTTAAACATAGGAAAATTTACTATAATAGTTTGCACAATTATTCATAACAGTAAAATATATACCATAAAATCCTTCAACCTCTACGTCATAAATTTCCCATGTTGTTGGATCAGGTGTTACGCTGTAATTAATATATTGTGATACATTTTTAACTTTGGCCACCAGCATTTATTTTTTTCTTCAGTGAGCCATGATGATGGTATCTCTGAGTAATCATTGCTTTTTATAAAATGCACTACAGCATAGGAAACCATATTTCTTCTTATATTTTCTATAGCATACCACAAACATAAATTCCAAAATTTCTATATTAGTGTGCATATTTTAGTGTGAATAATGATAATAAGTATATTATATTAATAAGTGTATTATATATTAATAAAAATTATGTATAAAAGGCAATATTACAAGATCTCCAGATTCTGTTTCAATAACGACATTCTTTTCACGCACTTGATTTATATTTACTGAATTGATAGCAAACATGTCAGTTTTAGATATCAGAAGAATAGATAAATTGATAGAGTTACAAGGCGTATTAAAGAAAGATTTCCATTTTGTAACACATTTACCAGAGAAGGAAATATGATTTTGATATAAAATTTTTTCCACAAAGATTACTGATCCATCATGTAGAAAACAACAATTGTCAAATTCTTTTGTAGATAAACTAAATCCTGCAAATTCTATTTTCTCGATCATGTCATTTTGTGCATGTTTAAAATGAATAATGGGATATACTTTTATTTCATTTTTTTTTACTATTTGTGCTGTTTCATGTAATCTGTTGAATACTTGTTCTAAATAATTTTTTCCTATAATATATTTTACTCTTTAATTTATATAAATAATTTTCAAATTTAAATGCACTAAATGAATCCAATGGACCAAACAAGGCCACATCATTTGAAAGATGTATAAGATTGTGTACATTATATGAAATGTGTTGCACACCATATAATTCACCATAATTTTTTACAAAAATAAATTAATAATTCCTGTGCATATGATCGGTGACTAATACACATATGTGTATGACAAAGTATTCTAATTGATACACTTAAGCATAGAAAATGTTCATAAACACGTTTTGACAAAACATCTTTTTAATAATACTGGTCCTGTATAAAGTATAAACAAACGGAAACTCCGTAGCTTTCCATCTATCGATTTCAAATAAGCTTCGAGGGTATCTAGCGAATTCTAATGGTATAAATTTTTTCATTATTTTTGTATGTATCTGAAGTACTTTGTAGTAAGTGTGATTTTATTCGAACATGCATTTTGCCTCGTACCCAGAATTGCAATAATCTTTTCATAATTCCTAAGCATACTAAATGCATGTAATCCAAGGGTAATTGCGATACCAAACCGATGCCTGTATTTCAAGAATAGATGATATACGATGATGCTCAGGTTGCATTCTGTTTTTAAATGACATATCTGTTCGAAGAGAGCATTTGTACTCTAGAAAAACAACCCTATTTTCAATAAAGTTACCTTCGCATATACATTTTGTACAGCCAAAATATCCTGTATGATTTTTTATTCCAGCGATAAAAGCTCTTGCTGGTGCATCGCACACAAAAGCATTTATTTTACAGGAATAAGTTTTTCATCTATAAATATACCACACTGATTCTTTATAAGCAACATATCTAAAACTAATGGCTGTAAGAAAATATTTACATTTTCTGGTTTTTTGGTACCATAATAAATTCCAACTGTGAATGGCTCAGTATACAAGGCATTATCCACTAGAGCAGCTAAAATAGGCCAAAATTGCCCAGAAGAACTTTTGGATACAGGTAATCCATCTATATTAAAATTTAAACATATTTCTTGCGGTAAATTAACATAATGTTTGTATATAGAAGCTCTGATGCCTTTTTCTAAAACCAAAATGTATATATTTGCCCTCTTCGAAAATATGTGTAATATTCGACTGTATATTTCGTGGTGTTTTCATTAAAGATCTGAATCTTTTGGCAAACTTTTATGATGTTCGTACTTTTTCAAAATTTTTAGAAGATCATTTGCTGCTGCATGACTTATATTATATTTTAAAATCCAAAAACGTATATCATATGTAATATCATGTGTCGAATCATTTTGCATTTTTACGGTAAAATTTTCGTCGCTTTCGATATCACTTAACGATTCGAAATTACTGTAATCACTTTTAGATTCAATACCATCATTATTAAGATTCGGTATAAAAGCAGCATCATTATTAACAATACTATTTGTCGATGCATTTAATAATTCACTGCATCTTGTGAGGTTAACCTCTTCATTTGTTAGGTTAACAATACGTCTACGCTGTTGGCGAACTGATAAATCACAAAAATCTTTTCTTTTCGACATTTTTACGCACTTTAAGATTATTATTATTAGTATAGTATAATAAGTTATTTAAAATTTATATTTTACCTCAGATATATTTTGCAATCATGTGCGCGATACTTGTGAATAACTTTTAATGCGACACTACGACTGCACAAACGCACAATTCGTTCTATCACGTCCAATTTAAATATCACTTATATATATCAGCTACAAATACGATACATATCGTTACACAGTTAATGATACGTATCAAATAGTAGTACATTTACGTATCTTTTATATGCTATTTTTACATATATGAAATGTATTAAACAGAACACATTTATGTGTCATATACATAAATTAGTTACATATCAATGATACTTCCCAGATACTTTCTGGTTATATAACAAGAAATATCAGTTACATGTGTGTTTTGCTGGATATATACCCTGTATACACACTACCGCTCAAAAGTATTGCCCACCTAAGATTACTTGTGCTCTAATGGCTAGGAATAAATAAAACAATGTAATAATCTTATGAAAAGTATTCATATATAATAAACTAAAATTGTAGAACAAATTGTACACTTAACTTAACTTATACATTAAACTTTTGATTCATCTATATGCTATTTATCTATATATGCTTTTATTTTTGATTACGGCTTCACAAAATCTTGGCAGTCTTCTTATTAATTTTTCTAGCGTTTCTCTGAATATTTGCGCCTTCTCTTCTTATAGAATTCTCCACAAGTCCTCTCGGGATGTAGAACAAGATTTTCGCACCTGTCTA